GTAACAGGTTCTCACTGCAGAAGCCGCTGGGAACTATTAGAAAATATATCTGAGCTCATCAGTGAGGTATACATATGTTGTATATACAGATGCACAGGCAATCTCATTAAAAGAAAGGCCATATACACAAATATGGCCATATGGTAAGGCGTCCATTACTCTTCTTGCAGTAAAAGCGGTGACATCCTTTATATTTTGAGAGAAACACTGTCATAACTTCTTCTTCTTCTTTTGAAAACCCATATGAAACACTTAACTATTGCAGTCAAGCCCGAGATGACACACCCCTGATGACATCATCAGAGTTACTTTCTCAGACTTTACAAAGCTCTCTACAGTGTCACAGAAGATTATAAAGCTGACTACACTATAAGGTAAATAAATTGATGAAAACACTTTTTTAAACCTCCCTGCATGTATCTGTATGCGTTTTGCATCCTCCCAGGTCCTCTGTGTGTGCAAGTGCAAAATACTTAACACGCATGTATGCATGCAAACGTTCTCGAGCACATGTGCATGTATACATCTATATCCAGTACAGCTCTGAATCAACATTATATCAGCGGTGAGGGCACATTACATCACTCCACAGTCAGATCCATAAAGGGCTAAGAGCCAATTCATTTTGAGAAAACACCCTCTATTGATCCTTGCTGCACTCCATCACTTCCACTGGAACAGTTACCTCAATCCATAGGCTAACCTGACACATAATTTGTGTGTGTGTGTGTGTGTGTGCGTGTGTGTGTGTGTGTGTGTGTGATCTGCGGATCTTGCTGTTGTTGGGGAAAATACTAATTTTTATAGTCATAAAATGCGTGTGTGTGTGTGTGTGTGTGTCTCCCTCCATGTGTACTCATATCAACATAATGTCAGCAAAGAGCACTGTGTGGACGCATTGGGGGACTGGTTGTGCTGCAGCACTCCTGAACTGGTTTTCAAATGGACTTGGTGGCTGTGTTCGACACATGGCAGCCACTTTCTCCCTGCAGCCAACTGGTCTAAACTGGGTTACTAGCAGCCTCTAGTGGCCTCCAACCAACACTCAGACAGTGTCTGCAGATACGTAAAAGCAAGATTTTACAAACATACAACTCATGCATGCATCTCATGTTTTTCTTCTGTCTGGATGCAGCCAGAATACTCGTTTACTACCTGCAAAAAGCATTGATTTTGAGTCTGCTATTGGGAGTGGTGTATTTTCTCAGTACAACATTTTTGCACAGTGAGGTCAGGTTCTTATTCCCTTATTCCCAGTGCAACATGCCAGAACTCAGTGAAAACACACAGCCAGGCAGGCACAAGCACACACTTGTACTTTATTTCCCACAGAATTGTACTCACGGAAAAGGGACTTTAGACCATCACGGGACAGTAAAACTCCCCATTAAAGGCCTGACTAATGATGTTAGCAGCCCTCTACCTATTTAAAGGTTGGGGGAACTTTGCTATACATGTACATACACTGACAGAGTGATATTTGATCACCAGCTCCACCAACACAAAAACGCCCAAGATGTTGAAATATTATGGTTGTACTAGACATACTGCTCAAACAAAAACTGTGATGGAAGAGAAGAGAGGAGAGAAAAAAAAATAATAATAATTCTACATTGACTCTGCAGTCTCCTCCTCTGTCGCTGGAGAATCCATCACATTAAAGCTTTAATGCTAAAATAACAAAGCATCCATCATGCTGAACGCCGGCCCAGAATACAGCGAGCCATTCAGGGAAGAAGTGTGCAATTCTCTGGGTGCGGTACCTGCACACAGCTCGCCATAGTCGGACGACATTACTCAAGGTAAGTTGGGAGCGTGTGATAAATACGACGAGCAATGAATGAGGTTTTCATACATATGCTGGAGAGGCAATCTAGAGGGAGAGAATAAGGAGCTATTCAGCGGACAGGTTCCCCGTCACAGTCTTCTCTTTTGGCTGTCTGCAGTACTGCCTGATGTGAATTTACTGCCCTGGGGGACATTAGTTAAATGAATAGGGAGGCAAGTAAACAGAAAATACTGGAGGAGAGGAGGGCAGAGGAGAGGAGAGGAGAGGAAACAACGGGTGAAAGACGAGGAAAGAAGACACCACGATGTATATGAAATAGAGGGAAAGGAACATAGAGGAGAGGAGGTGAATTCAAATAAAAGAAAAGAAACTGAGGGAAAAGAGAGGACAGAGACAAGGAGATGAGATGACACAATGAGGAGAGGAGAAGAAAGAAGAAGAGGGGGAAACAAAGGAAGGTGAGGAGGGCAGGAGATGAAAGGACAGGAGAGGAAATTTAAACGGAATAAAAGAAAAGGAACAGAGACGGGAGGAAAGAGGACAGAGGCAAGAAAGGAAAAGAAATTGGAGAGAAGAGACGACAGGATATGAGGATAGTACCACAGTAGTGTCACCATAGTAACACACATGGAGAAAACCTCCACCTCCCTCATCTCTTCCTTACAAAACCGCCACACATTCACAGTCAAACACACACACATGCCGACAGTATTCCGAACCCGTCTCCCGTTGTAACCCGGCCCCATCGTGTGTGTGTGTGGGGGGGGGGGAACTGTGTGAGCCGCGTTGCCATGGAAACTGAACACCTCACAGTGGTCCTCAGGGGGAAGACACAGAGCCTTACCTCTCCACTTTCACCTCCCCGTTGGTCACGTGATCAGCTGGAGACCGCATGGTTGACTTGTAAACTTCAAGAAGTGTCCTAAAATCCCTTGTACAAGATGCAAGACATGTATAATATTTTGATGATGATCTTACGTATTATGTGTACTGACAACATAGCGCTGGGAAACGTACAGTATATACTGTGCATCTTGTTCTCTTTGAGTTTACACTTCGTCCGAGTAAAAACTGTATCATTGTTAGAGAGACGTGGAAAGATTCATATCTGTGCCAGATTATCAATGCAAAAACTCTCTCTGAAGTAATATCTGACCGCATGTTAAGTCGTAATAAACATGTTTTCTTCATCTGCCAACGCTGTAAAATCAACCTTTTGCACGTTCTTTCAAGAACAATAGAGTTTTGGAAAATAACAATCTCAGGCCTCAAATACAGACAATAACTTGATTCTTTACAGCTTTTTTTAGTATAGGGGCTACATGAATGTTCCAAGTTAAAATGAACAAGGGGACAAATGTATACCATATATATACACCTTAACAAGGGTACATCCCTGGTGACAAGTCCCATTTTACGGTGTAGGCACAAGAGTAGAAGATGTGCCTGAGCTTCCTCTCTAACATCTCTCTCTCTCTTCATTTACAGCCTCGGTTCATTAATAGTTTTTATATGAGTGTTTCCAAGAGTGAGGAAAAAAATCAAACAAAAGGAAATCCTCTTTCTAGATTGAAGGGGGAAAAAAGCCAATGCTGAGAGGACAGGCTGAGCAAGAGCTGTGACTGAACGAACATAATGGGTTGGGGATTCATTGCATAGGGTCGAGGAGATATATAACGAGTGTGTGTGTGTGTGTGTGTGTGTGTGTGTGTGTGTGTGTGTGTGTGTGTGTGTGTGTCTGCAAAGGCACTAACAAGCTCCACACACATTTACACACGCATACGAGAGAGTGCGACAAGGGGAGTGTGGTGGGATTGAGCGCGGGTGTAGAGATAAGGAGCTGCGGCAATGGGGCGGGGGGGGGGGGGTGCTGCTGGTGTTGGTGCTGCTGGGGAGGGTGTTGGGGCTTGGAGAGACGGGCGGCTGCAGCACTGCACGCTACGGCGTCACCACAAACAGAAAAATCCATTCATTACCAGACAAGCCCAAACGCTTCGCATATACGCAGCGAGCACGCAGTCGAGGGAGAGTTGCAGCAATGCAACACTCAAGTTTCAAACCTTTTTGACTGACACCTACGTTCAGGAGCGGAGCTTTTCAAAAATAGCCAACGGTGAGGATGAAAGGTATGAGGGCACGTGAAAGTCCCGAAAGGTGTCTTTACTGAGGGCGCAGCGCATTAAGCTGATTTGGTCAGGGTTTCCTGCCTTAGGACAACTGTTCTAGAGATGCTCATGGTGTTTAGAAACATGAACAATCACCTCCAAAAATCATCCCACCCATCCCCATTCATCAGAGGATGACCTCGGGTATTGTTTCTGGTGTCCCTTCATGTGTACAAGTGCCTGTGTGAGAGGATATGGTGCCATTTCGTTGTTACACATGATTGACTCTCTGCTAGAGAAGAGCACAAAAAAAGCAAAGATTGCACTCCATGTTCCAATAACATTGGCTCCGGGGAAGCAGACAAAGAAGCTGAGCGTGCGTTCAGCTGATACCATTCAAGGAACTCCGTTTGGCCTTTCTTGCTCATACACATGTGCCATGCAACCATCGGAATATGGCTCAGGGGATGAAAGACTCGCAGCCCTCATCAAAAACAAACAAATACAGCATGACGTGCGACGGCGAGAGATGGATGAGAATCAAGAGCTCTTTCAGGGGATTACGCAAACCCCCAATAATGGTGCATTACAATTCTGCAGCTCCGAAGGCAAGGTGACCCTATGTATCAGGAGCAACATTTGTTCCAGGTTTGGTTTGGTGCCTGGCTCTAGTGGCACATCCAAAATGTGATCTTCATGGTTCCCCACCGTCTTCTATCTGGAGCGGCTGCCTGGAGACCACTTGGAGATGTAACACTGACCTTGAATCAGCACTTAGAGGGACACCAACCAGTCTGCCAGAGCTCATGGTCCATGACCAGCTGCCAAGCTCCTTTTCACAGCTACGTCACTTGGTGGTTTACGTAAAAACCGTCTGGATGTATGTAATGGATGAGTGGTGTGACTCCGAGCAAGGCCCAGCCAGACGTATATTTCATGCAGGATGAGAATTCCAGACATGCGTTTTGGCATTTATTGTGGGAGAAAGTCATCTGCGTGCGTTGAAGTGAGACAATGAGAGACGACATGTGCAGAACTCGTCATCTAAGTCCACTGAATCCCGGCTCAGTCTCCCATTCCCCCCTCCCCACTCCGTGAAGTCTTACCTTGTCTCGCTTGGCCCCCCGCAGAGGGAAGAAGCAGGCGAAGAGGAACTTGCCCCAGCTGACGACGGCAGCCAGGCACCAGTTGAGGCGAGCCATGCCTGCGTCCGTCCCGTCTCGTCTGCCAGCCTCTTATCCCCCCCCCCCCTCGGTGCCCGGGATAGGATCCTGCAACCTCCCCCCAGTAAAGAGAACGATGTCAAGTGAAAAAAAGACCCCGCAGTGTCAGGAGACCCTCTTGTCCTACTCCGTGGATCAGAAATGAATTGAAAACCTTCCTGCAAGTCTAACGATGACAGGGGATGTATTTTCCTTTCAGGTTATTTTTTGGCAATTTTGGCTACCTGTCTGGCTATGTGTCAGCAATTCCAATTTGAGGGGGAACAAGGGGGGCCGGTGTGAAGCTGCTGGTGTCCCACAAATGGACTAGACCTTTGGACGGTCTAGGGGGACCTAATAGCATCAAGAGCCTAAAACTGCCCTCCTGTCTTTGCATCCATCGGTCTTCCTCTCTCTGTGGTCTCTTCTGTCTCCACAGCCGGGGTCTAAGATGAGTCAGTCCTCAAAGTGTGATGAGCACCGTCGGCTGCATAATGCGAAGAGCTCGCCGCTGATCGACGACACTGTTACACATACGCACGCTGGCATGCCCACACTCCCTGTCTCTCACTCACACACACATTCACGCACATGTACGCTCGCCTGCAAAAAAAGAAAGGGAAAAAAAGCCCCGCTGTCCTGGCACATACATCCACAGGCAGAAGAGCCCCTCTCTCTGGTCACACGGCACCCCTCCAGGCTCAGGATCCCCGGTGCTTCGCGCTCACACACTCCGCTTACACACACACACGTCTCTCCCGCTCTCCTGCTCTGTGCTGCTCTCTCACACATACACACATGCACTGATGCTGCAGCACTTACTCAGCCAGCGCGGGAGGAGGGGAGCAAAAGAGTGGGGGGGGGGGGGAGAGAAAAGGAGAAATGACTGGGAACATAACGGTTGGAGAGAAGAAAAAAAGATGGGAAAACAGAAAGGGTTTCTGCTGAGAACGACAGATTGAGTGTATTCATCCAGTGTTTTTGTATTTCAGAGTTGAAGCCAGTGGGGACGGGCGATGTGCGTGTGCACGAAAAGTGCGCATCAAGTAGTGATCACTGGGAGAGGTGGAGGAGGCGGAGGAGGTGGAGGAGCAACGGAACGGGCTGAAAGAGTGAATGGAGGAGTCAAGATGGACGGATGAGAGACACCAGGAGAGGAGAATGACAAAAAAAGGGGGAAAGCAGCGAGTCGCAGAAGGAGGGGGAGACTGTGTTTGAGAATATTGAGCAGAGAATACTGGTGAACACACACACACTCACCAGCATGCGCAACATACGCACACAAGCGGATGCGCAACATACGCACACAAGCGGACATGCAGCAGCCTCACGGTGCAAGGCGGATACAAGGCAGGCACGGGGGTGAGATGATTGTAGTGTGTGTGGAGAATTGGGTCGAAGGGAGAGACGGAGGGAGGAGAGAAAGAAAGGATAGAGGATGACAGAAGAGGACAGGAGCTGGGTGTTGAATCATTGTGTCTTGGGTGATTATTTCCCTCACACACACACACACACACACACACGCACACACAACTGCAGGTGGTGCACAGGCTCGTTCACTGTGCTGCAGTCTCTCTACGCTTCAGTGGGAGCACATTTTCACTGCAGAACGCTTTTCTCTGCTATAACCCCCCCCCTACCTCCTCCTCAATCCCCCAACCCCAACCCCTCCCACCATACACACCACCGCCACACCAACGCAATCACAACACATCAAAGCAATGAGCGAGGGAGATAAAGTGTAGAGAGGATGCTGTTCTGTCAACCAGAGCTAGCCTAGCCTGGGGGGGGGGGGGGGGGGGGGACATAACATAAATTGTTTGGTCGAATGGAAATACGTTAGCAATAATAATAAAAAACAAAACAGATCTTTTTTAACAGAGAGCTGCTCCTATCAGAGCTGCTGCTCTTTGTACATATGAAATGAGATCTGCATTCAGTGCACATGTCGGTATATAAACACAGTGCGCCATCTATCCAAGTATGTTCCTGCATGAGACCGACTCAATGGTTCGCTTGGTAAAAAGCATTTGCAGATATTTAGAACAAAATGCATTTAATGCAATTTATCTACTGAATGCATGAATAAATGAAATATCATATGCATGAGTTGCTTGTGCAAGGCAGCTTCCCTCAAGTAGCTAATGATATAGAAGTACTGAGTTAAAGGAATTTAAATATTCTAAAAACTAGAGGGCTGTGGTTACTAATAACCAAAGTACTGAAGGACCAATCACGCACAACCACTCAGCGACTAAAGGTCTCTGCTGCGACACCCCCACAAAGTACGACTGGGTGGTATCACGACACCGCTTGCAACAGCTGTGATGACCGCTGCACTGGTCAAACGTCAAAGGACCCAAGACCGACATCAGCTGTTTGCAAGCAACACGACCGGTCACAACATCGGCCAGGAGTCAGCGAGCGAGCGGAGAAAGACCGAGGAAGACACTCACACTCGACACCAGAGGCCATCTTTGAACAGAGACGGGGACAGAAATGTACGACCACCTGTTGTCACAACATCAGGAGGGATCCCATTTGTGCAACAGATGTGGAGTATAGACCAACATAAAGTCACAGCATGGACTATCAGGATGACAAGGTATGCATTTCGAATATTTAGCATTATAGCAATAACTACATTCACCAGAATGCCTTTCAATATCCTCAAGAATGAGTTTGAACTTGTTGCTTTGAATTTCAAGTGAGATTATGGGCATGCAGAGAGCCAACTACTTAATAATCAGCAATCCTTAAGGCTGCATTGCATTCTGGTCTACTGAGGCCACTGTTGGGAGGAAAAATGTCTGTCTTTACCAAAATGGTCGACGTATGATGTCAGTATGATGTTGATGCAAAATGGCAGCTCTATAGAAAGAATCTCCCGCTGTCTGATGGACCAACACCAAACCCTGACATACATCCTAGAAGAAGAAGAAATCGACGTCACATCACACGTCTATAAATGGCTACTTTTCTGCAAGAAAAATTTGCCACCAAAAAGCAAATGGGCGCAAAAATTGAAAGCGAACAGTGTATTTTCCCTTTATGTCAACATTATTGACGATGTGGACCTGCTCCTTTTACACTGAACTGGTTCGCTGCTTTTCTCTCCAAATCTGACATTAGATATGAAACAGGTCACATTTATAAAAACGTTTGTCGGAAAATAAAATTAAACTGGGAAGGTATTCTGTTGACAGTATAGTCGGGTCCATTTTCATCAGTGATATTGACGGAGGAATGCGTTTTTTGTGCTGCACAGTTCCCTACAGCAGTGTGTTCTGTACATCTCAGTGTGAGACTGGGCTCGTGTCCCACTCTCTTGGCAACGCGCTGACCTTTCTCATTAGGCATAAGCAACTTGCATAATCACTGCTGACTTCTATTGACTGGCCTGTCACGCTGCCTATCCGTTTGACTGGAAACCCCCGTAAAAAAGTGGCGGCTGCCAAAAAAAAGCAACTTCTCCCTCAATGACTTTCCCCCTGTCATGTGCAGCAGGATCCGAATCTATCATTTTTCACCAAGTGCACAAAAACAGACAACGTTGGCTTTTTTATCCTCTATTGCACCACAGGTTTTTTAGCAACACTGTCAATATTTATCGAATGTTGGCTGTTTTGCCTTCTGTCCAAATATATGCACAGTTTGAAATGAAATCCTTAATATTGTTTAATGTTGAACTTAATGAGAACCCTTCCTCCCAGTCTAACAGCCGCAGCTGCACACTCACATATTCAGTGTTTTCATTTGCTCAGAGCAAGGTTATGTGAATTTTTCATCACGCGCAAACAAAATCTGAGGAAAGCTAATTTGAGTTAATGCTTTTCAAGATTGTAATGAATGTTTCATTAAACCTCTTGTTGATTCAAAGGAGGGATCAGCAAATTACTTCCCACTTTGATGAGAATACACACAGGTGTTGAAGACGTTCTGTTTCCCCTGACCATCTGATACAATATGTTTGTATACGTGTCTATTTGAAGAGTCAGGATAACTGCTACCACTCTATGCTAAGCTAAATAAGCTGGCTCCTGCCGACGGCTACATACTACATACAGACGCAAAGTGTGACCTTCCAGGTGTGAAAAAGTCTGTCCCACCCCCATAATTAAAATAATTATTAAAAGCAGCTCACCGCCACAGTTTGCAGGCTTGCAGCGATGTCATACGAGGCTCGGACGTAGGCCGTCTGGTCACGGTTGTGATTGACAGCTGGGCAGCCTGCTGTACAGCCTGCAAGAGACACAGAAGGAGGTGCAGAGTTTAGTTTTCTGCACCAGCATCCCATTCACATTCAGAGCACAGGGTGTGCACTGTACTGAGCAGACAGCAGATTAGGTCCCATCATTCAATAACACGCAGTCTCATCTACCTTCCACTTCTCTCCCACTCGCCCTTATATTCCCTTCTTTTTCACTTTCTCCTTGACATCCCTTTTCTCATTTTATTAGTATTCGCCTTGCTCTTTACAGCAGAAAGATACCGTTTTGTCTCTGTACCCTCTTTACTATTCTTCTCCCATGCAAAGTCTACCCAGAACAGATTTCAACTTATTTGAGACACATACCAATCCAAAAAACTTAAGATAGTTGAACGTCAATTATTTTAAGACTAAAAGACTAAATGAAAGTACATGCGTGGGACATCAGCACACAGAATACAAGCATCCCATGCACTTGCACTGCAGGCGTGCCAGCCCCTACTCCTGGGTGCAGGGTGCCATGCATAATGCATAATAATACATAATAATGACGACACCTCGTTGTTTCAGAAATGTCCCTCTTCATCACATCTAATCCAAGAGAAAGCACTGCAGAGACAGAGGTGACCCTGATGGCCTGTGATCAATGAGTCAGTCTATTAAGTGAAGGTGCTTTGATCAGTGAGTCTCAATGACGCTGGATGGTTGTACTCCAGTGATCTACAAACGTTTCAGTATTTTAACCGTCTGAAGCGAAATGTTATAATCCTAATCATTATTATTTCTTCAAATAATTAATGCTCAAAAACAAAAGAAAAGGAATTGTAAAGATCTTCTTTTTTTTTACGACACTCGTAAGGAGTCCACCTCTGCGCGGGGAAACACCTCCAGGTGACAGGTTCATCTTTAGCCGGAGCAAGTTATGTGCAGGGACAGGGAGGCTCCTGGATGCGCTTAAGAGTGTAGTTCTATGAGCGGTGACACTTCCGGGGCCTGCTGCCAAGGGAAACTCAGTTATCCAGTGATGTCTGCTCCCCTCCCCCCAACACACACACACACATACACACACATGGCGGCTTCCAACCTTTCCTCCGACCCCAAGGGAGAAGAAAAGACAGGAGGGAAGAGGTGATGATGGTGCTATTGACAGGGAAGTGGATCTACACTCTCTCAGGACATTAGCGACAGCATGATCAATTTGCCTTCACTTTTATTTGCAAAATTTCAAGGTGTAGTTTAAAGGACAATTCCGGATTAGGATGATGTTTTAGTAATTTCGAGAGAGTAATTGCTGAGGTTTGGGAACATGCTAAAAAGAAGTCAGACAGGTTGGAAACAGATTCCCAGATTAGTTAGTTTATTTGGAGGTTAACCCGAAAGTGTGTGTAAACTATGATGGGTGTTTAAAACAGACAGTATGGGTGATAACTTTTCAGTTTTCGCATTCTTTAATTATGCAAATATGATTGTTTAATTTGCAAAATGTGTCACTGGTCAAGAGCCACAGGTAGGAACTGCAGTTTTTCTGTTTCTCTTACATTTCGATGTTTTTACTTCCAAAAGAACAGCAGTTTTATTGAAAAAAACTATT